GCTACTCACACACTCACCCTACAAACACCAGCTGCTCACACACTCACCCTACAAACACCAGCTACTCACACACTCACCCTACAAACACCAGCTACTCACACACTCACCCAACATACACTAGCTACTCACACACTCACCCTACAGACACCAGCTACTCACACACTCACCCTACATACATCAGCTACTCACACACTCACCCTACAAACACCAGCTGCTCACACACTCACCCTACAAACACCAGCTACTCACACACTCACCCTACAAACACCAGCTACTCACACACTCACCCTACAAACACCAGCTACTCACACACTCACCCTACATTCACCGGCTCTTCACACACTCACCCTATATACACCAGCTCTTCACACACTCACCCTACAAACACCAGCTACTCACACACTCACCCTACATTCACCGGCTCTTCACACACTCACCCTATATACACCAGCTCTTCACACACTCACCATACATACACTAGCTACTCACACAATCACCCTACATACACCGGCTCTTCACACACTCACCCTACATACACTAGCTACTCACAAACTCACCCTACAGGCACTAGCTACTCACACACTCACCCTACATACACTAGCTACTCACACACTCACCCTACAGACACTAGCTACCCACACACTCACCCAACATACACTAGCACCTTCTACACTCACCCTACATACATAAGTTCCATGTACTGGCCGCTGACATACACAACACGACTATGTGGAGCCTCCCATGTACAGAGTCTATAGGTAGCGAATATTATTAAAATAGTATATATCCTCACTGAGTTCAACGACACAAGGACGTGGGTATTATGCATATTGTCAGATATGCTTCACGAGTCACGGCGCCTTCTTGAAATGAATCCTGATTTATCACTGTGTAAAACGTTAATGGGACACGTCATGTTATATACCTGCATATATTGTGTGCTGCAGCCTGACTGTGGAATATCTGCATTTAACTTTATCACAACCAGTCTACATTATATCAATATGAAATGCAGTGTGTAATAAAAGTTGTCATAGACTAAGCGTTAGCCTAATGTTGTACCAGTGTTGTCGTGTGTTACTGGTGAGAATAAAAGTTGTTGCTTTACACAGAATGACAATAATACACATATATTCTAGTACACGTGCTCCGTCACACTCTTCTGGAAGTACACTCGAATCCCGTTGTCTCGAACTCGGATGTGTGAAATTCCCGGTTGTGGTCATAGCTGGGTCATACGGTAATAATGTCGAGTCGGATGTGTCGACACCCGGACAAGTCAAAATTATTTCTCCGGTCCCCAGGAGTACGATACAACGGGGTTCGACTGTATATACACTTTCGCAAAAATGTGGCATTGCTGTACATGTTGCACGGATGATCTATCGTATTAGAAGATAATGTTGATACTGCTGTAAGAACATTTAGCTATATTATAATTGACTGTGGTAACATGCAGCAGCATATATCACAGTAGCTACAAAGCACGATAAGCAACAACCGCCGTGGTTTGATATAGACTGTACTATTCTAAAAGCCAGAAAAAAGAGGTTGCTGAACAAGATTAGAAAATATAAATGTGATGTCAATTTACACCTTTATCTTAATGAGAAATCTGAGTTCAAAAGGTGCTGTAAAAAACGAAGAAAGCATACGATGCTAAACTGTGTGTTGATATGACTATTCATGTGAAGATTGTAAAGAGTTACATAGATGATCTGTTATCAGGTGAAATATCAGAGAAAGAGATTGAGTGTGCATTACAAAGTCTGAAAGCCGCTTAATCTGCCGGTGGAGATGGAATACCACCTGATTTATTTTAGGTTATCAGGCAAAATTCTTATACTATATTTAAAATTATGAATACTGGAGTGTTTCCGGGGTCGTAGAACGTTGGTATGATATTACCATTGTACAAATCGGGTACAAGGTCTGAGCCCCGTAATTACAGGGGTATTTCAGTTTTAAATGTAACGGGAAAGCTGTTTACTTTTATTACAGAAAAGAGTCTTAGAGTTTGGTTGGATGTGAAAACATGTAATCTTCTATTTGAAAGTCTGGCTGGTTTTCTCTCAACGGTTGACAATTTATTGATGTTGCAAGCTTTATGTTCGAAATATTCATGTAAACCTAGCTGTCGCTTTTATTGTGCATTTGAAGATTTCAAAAAAAGTTTCGATTATGTAGATAGAGAAAAAAATGTTATAATTACTTCTTATCACAGCATGTCATGGGAAATTGTTTCTAGTTCTCAAAAGTATGTATTCATCGGCAAATCCTCGTGTTAAAACACAATCTGGTAGAGCACATTGCTTCTTATCATCTGGGGCGGTCGGGTAGCCTAGTGGTTTAAGCGTTCGCTCGTCACGCCAAAGACCCGGGTTCGATTCCCGACATGGGTACAATGTGTGAAGCCCATTTCTGGTGTTCCCTGCCGTGATATTGCTGGAATATTGCTAAAAGCTATATTGCTATTGAAAAGTGCTTTACTTTAAACGCTTTTTAATTGTTGGAAATTATGCTTCAAATAACGCTATAGTTTAAGTGAAACTGGACGCAATCCCATTCATGTACATGTATAAAGTCAACTTCGAATGACAAAATATTGGCTAAAATAACTGAGGATGGGATCGCAAAGATATCCTCATCAATGGTATATACTACTGATACCTCTTGATGACAAAGGCAAAACTAATTGGCTGTCCAACGTCAAATATTTATTATTTCCACGTGGTTATTCATCTGAGTGGATTTCCCAAGTTGTAGGAAATTCAAATTTGTTCTTATACTCTTTTAAACAAAGGTTACAGGAAATGTATAGTCAAAACTGGCATGAGAGTGTATCTTCTTCACGTTTCCTCGGCCATTACAAGTATATCAAGTCTGCTATATAGAACCAGAGAAGTATATGTAGCATGTCAGATGATAAATCGCTTGTTAGGGCATTATGTAAAGTCAGCGTGTCATTACACAATTTCAACGTAAATTTTAGACGTAGATGTGAAAAAAAGGACGTTGAAATGGGTATCTGTAAAAACTGCCAGTTAGGAGAGATTGAGGAAGAATTTCATGTTTTATTAGTATGTGATAAGTATGAACATCTTAGAGAAAAGTATATTCCATACTCTAACAATAGACATAAAAAAACCAAGATGTTAATGATCAGTCTTATAAAATCCAACAACTCTGCCGTTACACGTTCTTTAGCCATATTGTTGAAACATATATTCTCTGTCAGATAAACAAATGAAACTGAAAATGTCAACTGTACAATGTGACCTTAAATACCGAATAAAACATCTATGTATGTATGTGAAAACATACGGGCATGTACGCATTTACAGCACGTGGCAGGTAGTGCCATGGTGAACTACTTACAGCTACCTACCTATATATACAACATTACGACAAGCACAGCACTTGCATACGCACACTTTCAATGCTATTAGAATTTAATAACGCTCCTGAGACAGCTCGACACATATGATTAATTGTGGGCGTGAGGTGCATGTATATAGTGATATTGAAGCCGTGGCATATGGTGATGATAGTGTGTCGTGTGTACAGAATATAGCCAGACTTGCCCGTGTCCGGCGCATTGTACTACCCGTGAACATGCATAGAGCGTTTATCCCACTGTGTAATTCGAATGAGAAGATCAATGTCTAAAGGTATTGAAGGTCACTGAATACAACACTAGTCTTCATGTGTTTGGTTTTTTCCTGAGAAGACGGGTTCGAAGATTTAAGAATCTGGCCTCGTGTTATTTACATGCATAAAATATGATGAAATTGATACATATGACATTGTAGCGGGTCGATACACTAAAAGCACCATCCATCACAGGATATCATATTATGCGTCTACATTATGTTTAATTCATTGGTCGCCGTCTGCACAGAGATAAGCCTCGTCGTGATTGCTGGCTGCAATCAGCATCTGTAAAGCGGTCGGGCCAGCGTTCACGTGTTATGGAAATTGCTTATTAATACATGTCCATCCCAGAGTTTTGTCTATTGGTGTTGAAGCGTGCACGCATGAGTTGTCCTAGCTGTCGCACGGTGACTGATGGAGTGATGGCCGTTACTAGTGACGTCTCCCGGCACAAACCCATTTGTTTATTGTTGGTTTAAAACCAGGGGGTTTCTTTCTAATTACCATCAATTATACATGGCAGTCGGGCGGGTTTGATTGACCTTTCTCCGTGGAAAAGAACAGGTATAATTGACGCTCAAACACGCATTGCTTTCATGAGTGTGCATTGACGATCTGCGGCTAGATTAATAATTGAGTATTCTAGTACCGAAGATTTATATCATCGACAGAGATCGAGGGAAAGCTAGATAAATGTGTTATTATTTGACAATAAAAGTGTGATTATTTTACTTCCCCCGGGGGATTTTCAGGGTCGAAACAACATATTACAAGCGAATTTAGCCGGCATCACACCACTTATAACACCGGCACCATGTGTTTATAATGTACATTACGTTTTGTTGACATTCGTCGGTGTTCATGCATTGCTACGAAACAAACTAACTTTCATGAAAAAGGCTATTTTAAACATGTTCAAAGTAAATCGAAACTATTCTTTAATCGGGTAGCAGCGAAATACGTGATAGAAACATTTGCAATGTTCGATTTATTTTTATATGTTGTCTGTCGAAAGAGTAAAATAATGTTGTTGTTTTTCTGGAGAAAGAGGTTCATCAAATTACGTGCTGTTTGCAACTCGGAATCCCAAGACAAGGCGTTAGATTAGATCAAAGAAACACCGCAAATATTTGATTGGTCAGCGGGACCGGTATGGGAGTACCCACTTCCAGAGCGGGGGTGGCCGGCACTTGTTGCCAGGCCCCCTGTCAACAAATAAGACGCGCTATGCTTTTTTCACACTGTTTGAAAGGTCCTCAAGAGTATTGAAATAAACTGTAGGAGGTGTCTATGGCATACTTAGATCCGATTCACATGCGCGGAATGTAGTGACGAGTCTGTAAATCACATGTCACCCCCTAGGGTTTAACGGTACCGCAGTTCTCGTTGATTTAACGAGCGAGCATGCTATGTCGGTAGGATGTAAACATTGTCATTGTGTTGGGAGAGGGGAATGGCCGGTAGCAGTGGACACGTGTGTCGGTCGGCTGGACATGTACCTGGCATACTGGATACCTACCAAGTGACACCATGACGGAATATATCGGCAAGGACGAACAGACCCTGCGTTCTCTTGTAAGTTAACGTGTATATACTTACACATGTTCCCAGAAAACAATTTCCCAGGTCTCTATTGTTTAGGATTGACAACCTGCAGAAACATGTCGGCGTACTAAAATAATCTTCTTAATAGATGTAAGAGCAGTTTCATAATTCAAATAAAAACCATAAACCTCACTACAGTGCGCCGACCTGTATTCGTGTTGGACTCTACATTATTGTGTACACTGGAAGTGACATGACGTCCCGTACCGTACCCTAATGACAGGACCTACTGCAGAGGGCCTCGCGTTATTCTGCTGTGTTTAGTGAATGACACTAGATATAATATCTTTACACATGAGTGGGTATAGGCATTACTTCAATAGAACAAACCATAAGGTAAGGGGAAATGAGTATTAAAATATTCAATGTTTTGATATTGTTGACTGATGGATGCTCTCAATCACAAGCTGCATTGAATGTGGTTGGGCATATGCTTTGATGTGTATGACATTGCCTTGTGATTGTCGGTGACTTGTCACTCTTTTGTCTGTGTATGACATTGCCTACTGATTGTCAGTGACATGTCACACTTTTGTCTGTGTATGACATTGCCCACTGATTGTCGGTGACATGTCACACTTTTGTCTGTGTATGACATTGCCTTGTGATTGTCGGTGACATGTCAGACTTTTGTCTGTGTATGACATTGCCTACTGATTGTCGGTGACATGTCACACTTTTGTCTGTGTATGACATTGCCCACTGATTGTCAGTGACATGTCACACTTTTGTCTTTCCATGACATTGCCTTGTGATTGTCGGTGACATGTCACACTTTTGTCTGTGTATGACATTGCCTACTGATTGTCGGTGACATGTCACACTTTTGTCTGTGTATGACATTGCCTTGTGAGTGAGTGAGTGAGTGAATATGGTTTTACGCCACTTTTAGCAATATTCCAGCAATATCACGGCGGGGGACACCAGAAATGGGCTTCACACATTGTACCCATGTCGGGAATCGAACCCGGGTCTTCGGCGTGACGAGCGAACGCCTTAACCACTAGGCTACCCGACCGCCCCTCATTGCCTTGTGATTGTCGGTGACATGTCACACTTTTGTCTGTGTATTACTTTGCCTACTGATTGTCGGTGACATGTCACACTTTTGTCTGTGTATGACATTGCCTACTGATTGTCGGTGACATGTCACACTTTTGTCTGTGTATGACATTGCCTTCTGATTGTCAGTGACATGTCACACTTTTGTCTGTGTATGACATTGCCTTGTGATTGTCGGTGACATGTCACACTTTTGTCTGTGTATGACATTGCCTACTGATTGTTGGTGAAATGTGGCACTTTTGTCTGTGTATGACATTGCCTTGTGATTGTCGGTGACATGTCACACTTTTGTCTGTGTATGACATTGCCTACTGATTGTCGGTGACATGTCACACTTTTGTCTGTGTATGACATTGCCTACTGATTGTCGGTGACATGTCACACTTTTGTCTGTGTATGACATTGCCTACTGATTGTTGGTGACATGTCAGACTTTTGTCTGTGTATGACATTGCCTTCTGATTGTCGGTGACATGTCACACTTTTGTCTGTGTATGACATTGCCTTGTGATTGTCGGTGACATGTCACACTTTTGTCTGTGTATGACATTGCCTACTGATTGTTGGTGAAATTTGACACTTTTGTCTGTGTATGACATTGCCTTGTGATTGTCGGTGACATGTCACACTTTTGTCTGTGTATGACATTGCCTACTGATTGTCGGTGACATGTCACACTTTTGTCTGTGTATGACATTGCCTTGTGAGTGAGTGAGTGAGTGAATATGGTTTTACGCCGCTTTTAGCAATATTCCAGCAATATCACGGCGGGGGACACCAGAAATGGGCTTCACACATTGTACCCATGTCGGGAATCGAACCCGGGTCTTCGGCGTGACGAGCGAACGCCTTAACCACTAGGCTACCCGACCGCCCCTCATTGCCTTGTGATTGTCGGTGACATGTCACACTTTTGTCTGTGTATGACATTGCCTTGTGATTGTCGGTGACATGTCACACTTTTGTCTGTGTATGAGATTGCCTACTGATTGTTGGTGAAATGTGACACTTTTGTCTTTGCATTACATTGCCTTGTGATTGTCGGTGACTTGTCACACTTTTGTCTGTGTATGACATTGCCTACTGATTGTTGTGACATGTCAGACTTTTGTCTGTGTATGACATTGCCTACTGATTGTCGGTGACATGTCAGACTTTTGTCTGTGTATGACATTGCCTACTGATTGTCGGTGACATGTCACACTTTTGTCTGTGTATGACATTGCCTACTGATTGTCGGTGACATGTCACACTTTTGTCTGTGTATGACTTTGCCTACTGATTGTCGGTGACATGTCACACTTTTGTCTGTGTATGACATTGTCTACTGATTGTCGGTGACATGTCACACTTTTGTCTGTGTATGACATTGCCTTGTGATTGTCGGTGACATGTCACACTTTTGTCTGTGTATGACATTGCCTACTGATTGTCGGTGACATGTAACACTTTTGTCTGTGTATGACTTTGCCTACTGATTGTCGGTGACATGTCACACTTTTGTCTGTGTATGACATTGCCTACTGATTGTCGGTGACATGTCACACTTTTGTCTGTGTATGACATTGCCTACTGATTGTCGGTGACATGTCACACTTTTGTCTGTGTGTGACATTGCCTACTGATTGTCGGTGACATGTCACACTTTTGTCTGTGTATGACTTTGCCTACTGATTGTCGGTGACATGTCACTCTTTTGTCTGTGTATGACATTGCCTTGTGATTGTCGGTGACATGTCAGACTTTTGTCTGTGTATGACATTGCCCACTGATTGTCGATGACATGTCACACTTTTGTCTGTGTATGACATTGCCTTGTGATTGTTGGTGACATGTCACACTGTTGTCTGTGTATGACATTGTCTACTGATTGTCGGTGACATGTCACACTTTTGTCTGTGTATGACATTGCCTTGTGATTGTCGGTGACATGTCACACTTTTGTCTGTGTATGACATTGCCTACTGATTGTCGGTGACATGTAACACTTTTGTCTGTGTATGACTTTGCCTACTGATTGTCGGTGACATGTCACACTTTTGTCTGTGTATGACATTGCCTACTGATTGTCGGTGACATGTCACACTTTTGTCTGTGTATGACATTGCCTACTGATTGTCGGTGACATGTCACACTTTTGTCTGTGTGTGACATTGCCTACTGATTGTCGGTGACATGTCACACTTTTGTCTGTGTATGACTTTGCCTACTGATTGTCGGTGACATGTCACTCTTTTGTCTGTGTATGACATTGCCTTGTGATTGTTGGTGACATGTCAGACTTTTGTCTGTGTATGACATTGCCCACTGATTGTCGATGACATGTCACACTTTTGTCTGTGTATGACATTGCCTTGTGATTGTTGGTGACATGTCACACTGTTGTCTGTGTATGACATTGCCTACTGATTGTCGGTGACATGTCAGACTTTTGTCTGTGTATGACATTGCCTACTGATTGTCGGTGACATGTCAGACTTTTGTCTGTGTATGACATTGCCTACTGATTGTTGGTGACATGTCACACTTTTGTCTGTGTATGACATTGCTTACTGATTGTCGGTGACATGTCACACTTTTGTCTGTGTATGACATTGCCCACTGATTGTCGGTGACATGTCACACTTTTGTCTGTGTATGACATTGCCTACTGATTGTCGGTGACATGTCACACTTTTGTCTGTGTATGATATTGCATTGTGATTGTCGGTGACATGTCACACTTTTGTCTGTGTATGACATTACCTACTGATTGTCAGTGACATGTCACACTTTTGTCTGTGTATGACATTGCCTGCTGATTGTCGGTGACATGTCACACTTTTGTCTTTGCATGACATTGCCTTGTGAATGTCGGTGACATGTCACACTTTTGTCTGTGTATGACATTGCCTACTGATTGTCGGTGACATGTCACACTTTTGTCTGTGTATGACATTGCCTACTGATTGTTGGTGAAATGTGACACTTTTGTCTTTGCATGACATTGCCTTGTGATTGTCGGTGACATGTCACACTTTTGTCTGTGTATGACATTGCCTACTGATTGTCGGTGACATGTCACACTTTTGTGTGTGTATGACTTTGCCTACTGATTGTCGGTGACATGTCACACTTTTGTCTGTGTATGACATTGTCTACTGATTGTCGGTGACATGTCACACTTTTGTCTGTGTATGACATTGCCTACTGATTGTCGGTGACATGTCACACTTTTGTCTGTGTATGACATTGCCTACTGATTGTTGGTGAAATGTGACACTTTTGTCTTTGCATGACATTGCCTTGTGATTGTCGGTGACATGTCACACTTTTGTCTGTGTATGACATTGCCTACTGATTGTCGGTGACATGTCACACTTTTGTCTGTGTATGACTTTGCCTACTGATTGTCGGTGACATGTCACACTTTTGTCTGTGTATGACATTGCCTACTGATTGTCAGTGACATGTCACACTTTTGTCTGTGTATGACATTGCCTACTGATTGTTGGTGAAATGTGACACTTTTGTCTTTGCATGACATTGCCTTGTGATTGTCGGTGACATGTCACACTTTTGTCTGTGTATGACATTGCCTACTGATTGTCGGTGACATGTCACACTTTTGTCTGTGTATGACTTTGCCTACTGATTGTCGGTGACATGTCACACTTTTGTCTGTGTATGACATTGCCTACTGATTGTCGGTGACATGTCACACTTTTGTCTGTGTATGACATTGCCTACTGATTGTCGGTGACATGTCACACTTTTGTCTGTGTATAACATTGCCTTGTGATTGTCGGTGACATGTCAGACTTTTGTCTGTGTATCACATTGCCTACTGATTGTCGGTGACATGTCACACTTTTGTCTGTGTATGACATTGCCTACTGATTTTTCGGTGACATGTCACACTTTTG